TGTAGTCTCTGGCTGAAGATTTGGACGGATCCTCCGGAAATAATAATGAACTCTTAGGAACCCAGAGTCCCTGCACTAATAGAGCATGCTTCTGAGGGACCTCAAAGAATTCTTCAATTGGGACCTCTTCAACAAAGGATCTGAGAGCGCTGAATCGGTGTAAAGACGGTCCCTATTAAGAGAAGAAAAGGATTTGGAAATATTACATGGGATAATACATTATATTATAGCTTTCGTAATCCTTACCAAGACTGGGCAAACAAGGTAAAATTTAACAGTCAAAAACCTTAATTTCTCTTTTCCAATAAGGAATTTAAATAAGAGAAAAAAATGCAAGATTTTATAGCATTCTTAATTCAATTAAAATACTAAATTATAAGATCATGATCCTAATTTCAGGCAACAAAAGCATTAAAGTAAAGATGCATATCAGCTGAAAGCTTAGGTTCTTAGGGAATGGATAGGGAAAAGGTTTAAGGTAGACACAGTCTGCAGTGTTATAAATTTTGGGGCGTAAAACTTCATCCATTGATGTACTATATATCTGAAAGCAGCCAAACCTTGCAGACAGCATACAAGCTGAAAAATACAAGGTGGAAGCTCTACTCGAACAGACCTTAGTCAGTAATGTCTTCAAACGTTCTTCCAGTGGAATTGAAAGCAAAAACCTGAAAGAAACAATCTCATGGTCTTTAAATCATTAAACATAAAGAAGAGGCAGATGATGCATTTTCCACCACCAAATACAGCTATGAACATATCAAACACGTGAACAAATAACATACATATACCAAATTGCATCTTCTGATTCGTATGCCTGTGGAAGCTAGAAATAAACTAGAAGGGTAACCATACCTTCTGGATGGACCTTGTGATTTATTGCTGCTGCTAGGTAAAGGACATAAGGAGTCGACATAATCATACCTAGAGATAATGAGAAACAATTCAAAGCAATATACAATCAGCCTATTAATACATCAATACAGTAACTTTGAACTTCTCTCCAAATTCTTAGAATAAAGGCCGACAAATAAACAGGTAATAGAACACATACGGGCTCATGCTAAACTCAATTGGACAGCTTTGTTCTGCCATCATTTTAAGCAAATACTGAGCAGAGAAATCACTCTTGGAGCTATGATACTTGAGAGGAACCCAACACTGGAAATAGAAGGAAAAGGAACAAAAAATAGGGGGGAATGAGCAAATCTAATTAATTTAGCAAGTGACAACAAACACCATTTTGCTGTATAAAAAAAGTAGAAAATAATACCTCCTTATCTTCAGCTTTTTGCTCAGCTGTTAAGGACTGTATTTTCTTGCTCTGCATCAGAGTAAAACTTCAAACTCGTTTATAGAATTAATATGCAAAGGGAAATAACAGGGGAAAATTTTGAAAAAGAGATTTAAGCAGCCAAAACCAAGGTTCATTTTAGACACATTTTTTTAACTTTAGATTTAAGCATTCCATAAAATATATCCCAAAAATCAGGAATAACCTGCTTGGTTGCTGGATCAGCTGCTTTCCCATCGTTTTGTTCTTCTACTTTAATAGTAACTTCCGCATCAGCAGCCACCATGTTCTTTTTCTTTGACACACTGGACTTGAGATGTTCCAACGATGGTCGGAACTGAACAACTGCATGAATAGGATTTAGGTGCAACTGGACCATAAAAATAACCTTAGAACTACTGTTTCCATTCCATAATAAAAAATAGAATATATATAAATGTAAAAACTACCACCAGTTAATTCCCATCTCAAATCTAAGCAATGCGTATGTAGGTTTAAAAAAACAGAAAGAACAGCTAAAGATCAATATTGTATCTGCTTCAATATAATGACTGGAACCTTACATGTCAAATACTATATAACCAGTCTCAAAAAAGCTCATCAAAGAGAAACCAGATGCACATACCTTATCGCCCATTAAAACTCCAACAGCAGAGCCATAGCCAGTTAGGCGTGGTGGCAGCCAAGAAAAAGATAAAGTCTAAAAAGTAATAACAATACGAAATTAGATTATCAAACAAAATTGATTTCGAAAACACATGTCAAACCACTAGCCAAGGTTACAAACAAATCAAAAGAACACATTTAATTTAATTTTTGTTTAAATATATATAAAAAACAATGTAGAATCAGAGCCAAGCCAACCTGCTTTGTCATCTTCATTTTTTTTATCAGATTCACTGTCATAATTTATTGAATCAACATCGACAGACATGTCAATTTCCACTTCCGCAATAGCAGGTTTCACCCTTACCTGCAAAATAACCAAAGAACAAGATTGGTCCAAATAGAGAAAAGGAGGAAAAGGGGGGGGGGATAAGAGACAACCTCCTCGCATCGTTCATCTAACTCATATGGTCGCCAGCAATGTCTTAAAGGATATTGCAAAACATATAACCGCAATTTTATTCCAAAAACAGTAATAAGCAACCACCGGTGGCTTTAAATCCTCGTCATCATTTTCTTTCTTTTTCGAAACTGTTTCCACAGGTATGGTGGTGTTGGTGGTGGTGGTTGGGGTTTGGGTGCGGAGTCTTGTGGCTCTTGTTTGGATGAAGGTTCGTGCTTTGGCTTAGAGGCCTGTTTGAGCTTGGGTGAGAATTTGGAAGATTTGGGCTCGAATTTGGATGTTCGAGTATTGAGCTGACTTGAACCGTCGAGTTCTCGTAAATCATCCAGGTCCATTTCAATGTTTTATTCTCAGTGTTGCTCCAGTAACTGGCTAGGGTTTCCGACTCGGGTTTGGGGTTTTAGGACGAGGCTTCAGTGATTACCGAATAATAGACACGAGAATAGAGGAAAAATTATAAAGGTAAAGAGCAGCTAACTAAAAGTAAACTACATTTTTAGTATCTAAATTATTAATTTTATTTTATTTTAATACTTAAATTTTTATTTGTTTTAATATCTAAACAATTAATGCGATCCCCTCTGTAGGAGCACTATTGGATTAAGGATGGACTTAAAAGGGTTGGTGAGGACAATCACCCCCCAAAAGTTTCAATTCTTTTTAAATATTTTAGAAATTTTTTATATTTTTATTAAAAATATGTTTTCGTTCTTCCTAAAATTTATAAATTCTCACGTATTTAAAATTTTATAAGTTAACAATACTGATAAGCGTATAGGTATTCATTGGCTTTAGAGAAGATAACTCAGGTCATTTTATAGCTAAAACCATAAAAAATTCCATGTATACTGTCATCTATATGGTGTATAGCTGTGATGTTTTTCTATTAATATTTCAGTAACGTGATTCACGCATTGTAGTCATCTGGAAGTGCACACAACATGAAGATTGTGAATGGCATTTATAGTGAAGAATGAGAAAAGTAAAATGCAAAGTTTGCACCTCCACCTCCTCATCTTCCACTCTGTTAATAAATATCTCCGTGTATCTTATCTTTTAGATTATTATGTGAAAGAATGTTGATTGTTCATGTAATACTAAGGACTGTACGCAATTGTATGCAGCTTAAATCCAAAAACAGGATACAAATAGCAGTTTGCTATTGAAATAGAGATTATTATACAGTGATAATAATACTGTTCAAAATCGTTATTGCACGACCCCAATATTCGTTATGATCATAATAACATCTATTATATCTACAATCACGATAAATACGACTTATCCATAATTCCCCTATATTTGGATTACGATTTCTATTTGATATCCAAAATGTTGGTGACCTTGCTTGCTCTTCAACCCCGAATCTTAATTCATGTTTTCAAAAGAATTAATAATTATTCAGGTCACCAACCTGCCACTAACCGCCACCTCACGTCTCAACTCTTCTGGGCCCTATATTAAATTTCACGGGTTTCGCACCACTATTATGTCATACAAAGTTTATAATCCTTTTCTAGAAATACACTTTTAAAGGTAATTATATATTGAAAATTGAGGATGGAAAACTAAAGCATAGATTTTAAATCCAAAATTTATGAGAATATTTTGGTTATAATCAGTATAATTTAAATGATTTAATTGAATAACCATTTTTCTTCTAGAAACTAATAAATAAAAGTATACGTGGATGGACTTGAAACAAATATATCAAGGGCAAAGTACACAAATAGTCCCTCATCTATAGGATGATATTTTATTGAGTCCCTCGATTATTAAAAGTTACAAAATAGTCATCCGACTATAGGGTGTTCCTTTATTGAGTCACTGACTATTAAAAGTTACAAAATGGCCACCGATTATTTAGTGTATTATAAACTCGTCTATTTTTATTAAAATTTTGACAACAGTCTGAGCTAGATGTACTAATATATGATATTTTTTAGACTCTGAGATTAAATTTTCTTTGGGTTAACATCCAACTCATACTACTGTCAAATTTTTAACGGAAAATGATGAGTTTGGAACATATTAAATAGTCTGGTGATCATTTTGTAACTTTTAATAATAGAAAGACTCAACAAAGCAAACACCCTATAATTGAATGACCATTTTTTTTACTTTTAATAATTAGAGGACTTAATAAATCATCACCCTATAATCGGGATCATTTGTATACTTTACCCGTATATCAAAATCTAAAAATAGAGAAGGGGGATGTCCAAAAATACCTCACGTGTTTACCCCTTTATTCAGCACATTCCCTGCATTAAGTTAGCATACGCAGAGCCAGAGGGAAACAGGGAGAGGCTCCGGAGATCGTCGATTTTTTGGATTGATTCAATCTTGGGAGCTTCTTTCTTCTCTCTTCCACCTTCAACTCTGGGATCCACAACCAGCTTCAACAGGTTCTTCCTTTTGCGTTTTCTTTGTTTGTAATCTCGACTTGTTTGCTGGGTTATTGTGCAATGTTTCAGTTTTTCTGATTCATATTTCTCATCATTCAGATTCTTTAAATTACCCATATTTTGTTTCCTTGAAAATACGTTCTGTTCTAATGCAGCTAACAAAAGAATAAACCAATGCCACCAAAACCATTTTTCGTTGAATTTAAGCTATAATATAACCATTGCATACCGGAAGGGAAAGTTACCCAGAAAATATTAAAGTTGTGATCTTTATTCTTTTTAATAGAAGCTTTTGTATCTAAACGCAATATGAGTTATTATTCAACCATGTAATTACTTTGTGATTGAACATTTCCCACTTTTTTTTTTGTGAATTTGGTGAACGTTTTATGAATCTTGGCCACAAGCCTAAAGCCAGATCTATTTACATATAATATACCTCTACTTTCTGTGCTGTTTTCAGATATTCACAGAAACATGCTTCAGTAAAGAAGAAATTTCTGATAGGGTTAAATGCGTGTAAATGTATAACTTTTTGTATGCAATTCAAGGTTTGGTATTCTGTCTGGGTGCTTGAATCAAGGGGACTTGATATAAGGGTTAAAGATGCCGGCTATTTTACTTTCTAAGCTCAAACCTGCAATATGTACTGGTTTTCAAAGGTCACTTACAAGAAAACCAGTTCAATTGTCAAGTTCACCAAGTTCACTGCTTAGGCAGCTCAAATTTTTGTCTCTGAATTCAGGGTTGGATCAGTCCTTGCCTTATTCAGATAAATCTATATCTGATAAGAGGTGCATTCGAAACCCATTTTGTATTAGGACAAAAACAATGGCTGTGTCTGGTTCCAAGGCTGTTTTCGGAGATGTTTATGTGGATGAGTTGGTATCAAGTTGTGGGAATGGCTTGGACTTCCTGAATCCTACTGGGGTTTATTTTGCTGATCGAAGCCATAGCAGTTGCCATAAAGCTAGCCTGATTTTGAGAAAGCGAGAACAACACAACAATCGATTTGTTTGTGGGTACATTATTTGTGATGGAGTGCAGGGGAATACCAAATATAATCCTCCTTTCGGTCATAGGATGAAAAGTACCCACACCTCATCTTTGCCATGTACCTCTGCTAGGGCAGCTCATGATGTGTCATTTGATGGCAGTTCCAAGGATGAACAGACCACACCTGTACAGTATGTCCCCTCATCTTCTCTTTATTTTTTATTTCACCTTTTGCCTTTTTTCTTTTAACCTTATTTCACTTTTCAAATTATCTTTCAGTAATGATATACAATATAATATAGTTCAAACTTTTCTGACACCAGATAATCTCAAGTATTTTTAAGACTCAAGTTTCACTTTACTGTTTGGTTCTTTGATGTTGATTTCAGAACTATTCCAAGTAAGAAAAGCTTGAGACTAGTTTCAGGGTCATGTTATCTCCCGCATCCTGCTAAGGAAAAAACAGGGGGAGAGGATGCTCACTTCATTTGTTCAAATGAAGAAGCCATAGGGGTAGCTGATGGTGTTGGAGGCTGGGCAGAAGTTGGCGTTGATGCCGGAGAATTTGCCCGTGAACTTATGTCTAATTCAGTGGCAGCAATTCAAGATGAACCAAAGGGTTCCATTGACCCAGCCAGAGTATTAGAGAAGGCCCATTCAAACATGAAATCACAGGGGTCCTCAACTGCCTGCATCATTGGCCTTACTGAGGAGGTTTGCTTTCTTTTATGTTAATAAAGATGAGCACAGATAATCTTTAGAATAATTTTCCTTGATATATATTGATGAGTTCACTAGGATGTGATACTTACAAGGAAACAGAAAGCTTTCTTAATTGCTATCATCCGGTCATCCCATTCCATGTCTTTGTACTGGAATATAACTTGTGTTTAATGGCCCTAAAGAATTTATCTAGCTTGATTTTAGGGAACGTTGAATGGCTTGAGTCTAGAACGTTCAATAAGATTTTAGCAAGCAAATTATACATGTGGTTTCATATAACTCTACTTTTCTCAATAGGGAATACATGCAATAAATCTGGGGGACAGCGGTTTCATAGTGGTTAGGGATGGTTCCGCCGTCTTCCATTCCCCAGTGCAGCAACACGGTTTCAATTTTACATATCAATTGGAGAGTGGTAATGGTGGTGATCTACCAAGCACTGGTCAGGTTAGTCGATGAGTTGTTACCACTCCTCATACAAGGGATTGATCATTGTTTTCTATCTATTTCACCATAAGCTAGTAACTTTGAATAGGATAGAAACTCCTGGCTCTCTTTTCTCTCTTTCTAGGATCTTTTATGGTTAAAAGGTCGAAATTTTATATTAGCTAAGGATTGTTTGTTAGACCCCATTTGGCTGCATTTCTTCAATGTCTTGGCTACTGCTGTTAGAGTTATTGGATTCATTAATACATGCTTATCTCTTGTTGAGGCAGATGTAATGTTCTATTTTCTTTACCTACATGTTTGATGGGAATGATTATCTCGGATGTTGTCCTCCGTAGAAGATATGAAACTATTTTGACTTTTCACGACTTATATTTCCCAAATCTATCATTTTGGGCCAGGTTTTCAGAATTCCTGTTCTGCCAGGTGATGTGATTGTCGCTGGAACAGATGGTTTGTTCGATAACTTGTATAACAATGAGATTACTGCTGCTGTGGTTCATGGTTTAAGAGCTGGCTTCAGACCCCAATCGACGGCTAAGCAGATAGCAACTTTGGCTCTGGAACGAGCAGTGGATAAGAACCGGCAGACACCATTTGCCAAAGCGGCTCAAGATTCTGGGTTTCGTTACTATGGTGGCAAGCTTGACGACATCACTGTTGTTGTGTCCTACATTGCTAGCTCTTCCAATACGTGAATCTTGGTTTAAGACTAGCTGTTATGGTGTCTGTAGGATTTTTGGAAAGCAATTGAAACCTGGTTAAAGAAGCATATTCATGTTTACCTTTTGTTTAATATCCCTTGTGAAATACAGAACTTGATTTTGTTAAATAAGTAAATTACTGGTTACGCCTGGGGAAACATGCATAGATTTTATTTTCCTCATTGATATCGTTTTTCTAACAACCAGGTGAAAGAAAAGGAAAGAAGAGCTTATTTAAGATCAAGATCCAGAAAACATAGATTCAGAAAGCTTTTCTACACCACTTAACATGGAGTCCGATTAACTAGAACATAGGTTGGATCATTGGACAGTTTTTCTTATTCACTACTGCTGTAAACAAAAGCAAGGACTGGAAAATCTATCCGGGGATGCATTAAAATTAAGTCTCCCACACTTTCTTAATTCTTCGGCCTCGGCCCTTGCCAATACCTTCTTGCTCTGCTTTCCTATGTCTTTCCTTTTCTCGTCTCTCGGCCTCCTCTTGCTCCCTACTTGGTTCACCTTCTTCTTCTTCTTCGCCTTGACCCTCCTCTTCTTCATGTCGCCTCCTTTCTTCTTCTTCTTCTTCTTCCCTTGCCCTCCTTTGCCGCTCTTCTTCCTGTCTTCGGGCTTCCTCTTGCTCTCTACTTGGTTCACCTTCTTCTTCGCCTTGACCTTTCTCTTCTTCATGTCGCCTCCTTTCTTCTTCTTCTTCCCTTGCCCTCCTTTGCCGCTCTTCTTCCCGTCTTCGGGCTTCCTTTTGCTCTCTCCTTGCTTCTTCTTCTCTTCTCCTCTCAGCTTCTTCCTCTTCCCTTCTTCTTTCAGCTCCCTCTTCTTCTCTTTCCTTAGCCTCTTTCTCTTCCCTTCTGGCTTCTTCCTCCTCTTCCCTTCTCCTTCGAGCCTCCTCTTCCTCCTCTTTCCTTCTGGCTTCTTCCTCCTCTTCCCTTCTCCTTCGAGCCTCTTCTTCCTCTTTCCTCCTGGCTTCTTCCTCCTCTTCCCTTCTCCTTCGAGCCTCTTCTTCCTCTTCCCTTCTCCTTCGAGCCTCCTCTTCCTCTTTCCTCCTGGCTTCTTCTTCTTCTGCCTCTTCCCTTCTCTTCCGAGCCTCCTCTTCCTTCTCTTTCCTCCTGGCTTCTTCTTCCTCTTCCCTTCTCTTTCGAGCCTCCTCTTCCTCCTCCTTCCTGGCTTCTTCTTCCTCTTCCCTTCTCTTTCGAGCCTCCTCTTCCTCCTCCTTCTTCCTGGCTTCTTCTTCCTCTTCCCTTCTCTTTCGAGCCTCCTCTTCCTCCTTCTTCCTGGCTTCTTCTTCCTCTTCCCTTCTCTTTCGAGTCTCCTCTTCCTCCTTTTTCTTCTTGGCTTCTTCCTCTTCCTTTCTTTCCCTTTCAATTTCCTCCTCCATCAATCTTTCCTCTTCCTCGGCACATGATGTACAATCTAATATCACTGATTCTTTCTGAGGTTTTAGAAGGTGATCAATTGTTGTGTTGGACACATTGAATGACAAAGCCAATATCTCTCTATCTACGACCCCTAAAGAAGACCTCTTTCCCGCTAGAAATTGAGGATGGTTTCTCTTTGTTGATGTGCTGAACCCCATGAAAACAAACGAATCATTGTTGAATGACATCTGAGCCATTGGATGGAACCTCGGTACTGCGATTACATCACCTTCCTCCACTCTATACCTCATGTTTCTGCACTCAGATTCATTGACATTGCTAGAACAAACCACCCGAACCATCCCTTGACCCTGCAACACTATTGCTATCTCTGAAGCTCTTGGATTCCAATGTGGTGCCATCATCGAACCCTTCACAAAAATTTCCACCATTACAATGTATCTTCTTAACTAAGACAATGCTACTATTTAAGAAAACCTATAGTAAAAAACCAACCTTTGTCAAGTTCACCATGAAAACCCCAATGTTGGAATGTTTCAATAAATGCAAGTCTTTCTTGTCTACAGTTACACTCCACCCGTTACAGTTCTCGAAATCTGGATCTGCTTCAAAAACATTGTATGTTTTCGTTTTCTTCTTGTTCTTGCCACTGATAGAGCGGAAGAAACCACTCCTGTTGCTCCCTAGAAAGGCTTTCAACAGTCCATCTTGCCATTCTCCCAACACCTTCTTCTCCTTTTGCACTGCATGAATTATAGCAGGTGCTTTGCTTGATCTCATTATTTCTTCTATCACATCCTCGGGTACCTTGAGACGCAAGTTTCCGTTATATATACAAAATTATGCAGGAATGTTTATAACCACTTTAAAATCATACCTTAAAAGCTGCTTGAAGGACTCTGGAATCAAAGCCAAGAACCACATCAGTAATGCTCGAGTAAGCCCCAGTCGACGGCTCCTGAATTTGTTAAATTCACAGACCAACATAAAAGTCCACATTTTTTTTAGAAGTCAAGGACAGGAATTAAAACAGCAAGAAAGGGAAATAACGGATAAAACAAATAGCATCATACATATGTGTCATCTTCTGTGTTAGTGAAGATTGCATAAATTCTAAGCTTATGTCTTTCAGCCTCTAAGTTGCTTTGAACATAGAAAACCGCCCCTTGATGCAGCCTATATACATCTCCTTTCCGAATGTCCACATTCCTTATATCATCATCATCCGTCCAACTCAAAGTTCCGCTCCCTAAACCAAAAAAAAAAATCATTTCAAACTCAGAATTTTACATTCATGCACCGTATTCCGAATCTACAAGCATTAAGTTTCAGGGTACCTGTATGGACGAAGAAAACCATGTCTGCATGTAACACAACCGGAAGAAATACGGAGTTTGGCTCCAAGGTAATGAACTGAAGATGGTAAGGGCCTTTTGTTCCATCATTGACAAAAGCAGCTGAGATTACTCCATGTTCTGTCTGAGTTAAGAGCTTCCTGTGATGTTTAAGAACCAACTGACCAGCAGTCGAAGCATGTCGATGCGAGTGAGCTTCGACGCTGAGGAAGTTTGTACTTGTCGAAGCAAGAACGAAGAGAAGTGAGAAAAACGAGAATGGGGAAACCAGGGTTTCCTTGGGCATTGTTTCCAGAGGTTAGAGATGAGCAAGCACGGGTTTTGTGAGTATTGGAACAAAGGACAGATTGGTTTGGTCTATATAGATGAACAAAGTGGGTGATGGGGTTAGACATTTACGTTACGTGGTGTTGTGGATCGACACGTGCATGGCCATGCAACAGGTGGCGGGGGCTTACGACAACTCTTCCCGCTAATTCACAAATTGGTTAAGATCCAACTCAACAGAGAGAGAGAGAGAGAACATTGCATGGGGGATTATTTTGGAATTTAACAGGTTTCATCTTAATTTCCGCAAATACAACGTTGTCCGAGTATATGCGGATGTATATTAATTAAATGTCGGAATTTTTTTATTAATACAAATAATTATAAGATAATATTTGTTTAAAAATTTTAATTATTTAACATTAAATATTTAAACATCCTCATTAATGTCGTGTTTAAATTCGAGATCTCAGGATAATAATTATCCACTGAAGCAATGAGATTATTTAATTCATGCTAAGGTCAGACTTGTCGTAAATCAAGTTTTTGTTGATTCATTTTTATTCCTAATATTATCCCTAATTTGGCTAAGAAAATTCCAAGGTGGCCAGGTTCTTTTTACATGATAACAAATATGCTAAATTTTGGGCTTGGATTATAGGCTCCAATTATACTCCTTTTCACAAGGTAAAAGGCATAAAAGCCCCCAAAAGGAAATTCACACAAGTATTAATTCAGTATTTCTTAAGGCTTTAGTATCATAAACCACATTTCAGTCTCATCTGTCGTTTACATTGCAACGAAGAAACATGTTCAATGCATATCCCTAAATCCTACTTGGATTAAAATCTGAATAATGGCGCAATCGGTTACACAAATACCACAACCTCAACTCTGGTTAAGCACTTCCTTTAGAATATAGATCAGTAAAGAAAACAAATGCTCTATTAGTCCGTTAGTAAAAAGAATATTACTTATCTCTGTACTCTTCCCATTAACTATTACCCTCAGCATCTCACGTTTGAACAATTGAAGAGGGCTTCTCTTGTCCGAGTTTAGCTACGGCATCCGTTCTGCAAATCCTCGATAATTCCTCCTGTTATAGAAGTAAATCATATTTGTTGATTACATTATTCAAAAAATATGCTCAAGGAAGAACTAACTGATTGCAGCACATTTACTGGATTACAAGAACTAACAGAAATCTAGAATGATCAGAGCAAGGTTCAAGCAGATAATTGTCGCGAGGACAACAGCAAGATCTCAGGTGAAGCCTCGAGTGAAAGGGTGTGTCTGTTTATATTATTATACCTTAATAGAACTATTTTCTGATACAAGCTTCTCACATTCATCAGAAAGTTTCTTTAGTTCTCCTCTAAGGGAGCAGTTTTCATTGGCCAAGCTTTCCACCCTGCCTTGTAGTTCTTCACACTCCGCCTGTGGAAACACCAAATACAAGCTTCAGGTCTTGAGATTCGAAACAAAGCTAAACGATACTTGAATGGAAATAATTCCAGAATCAATGGTTGAGGAACAAATTAAAGCAGTCTACCTGCTTCCGTAATCTTGATCTCCTGGCAGATTCCCTATTAGACTGCTTCCTCTTCTGTCTTTTCAACTCACGCTCATCCTGCACGAATCAACAGATCCAATTTAGTTAAAAACACAAAACTACACTGGTAAGTCGCATGACATCCAAAACAATCTAGCTTCTTAAAAGGACACAACAGCGGAGCAAATTAAGTTATGACTACAAGTACTAGGGCAAGTTTTTTGTAAACTCATGCGGAATATTGGATTACAAATGAAGCGAATGGTAATGGTTAAAAAAGGAACAAGCAACATTAGAAACACAAACCACCAAGGCTCATACTTGAATCCACTGGTCAGGCATTACAACTCCAGGAGCAACTGTGACTACAGCACCAGATGCATTTGGTTGCATTTTTGCAGCTCCAGTGGCAGCAGGGGATCCACTCCATATATCCAACCCTATATTCAAAGTAGTTCCAGACATAGAGACTACGGGTTTCCCAGGAACCAAAGCCCCCGCATTATTACTCTGTGCATTGGCTGGTAATAAGAGTGATTTGTAATTAGAATATAAAAACCTAAGTTTGTTAGCATAAGCACACTTCGAAAACATAAATAGGAACTTTTATTTTCAAAACAAGCTGAAGCTTGTTTGATTGGATTTATCCTACAGCAAAGCCGAAATTGGATAAGGAAGCTTAATATACCATCCGCAAGCATCTGTTTGAAGCTTCCTTTTTTACCAGCAGCAGGTCCCTAAAGAGAAACAAAGGGAAACTATTCATTAGAAACGGACAAGTCATTGTATTAAAATGCTATCCTGTAAACCATGATGATATGGAGACTGAAATTTATATAGTAGTCGGTGCCCTACTTGGTGATTATTCTCATTGCTTCCATCTGATGTACTCTCACTGCCAGTTTCACCGCTGTTAAGAATGCAATTAGAATTAGAAAAGGCAAGCACAAAACTCGATTAATTTCTTTAGACCAAAACCCAATGGTAAGAGTGAATGAGAAAATTGGTTTATGGGAAAGATTAGAGCATCAAAAGGATAGTGCACCTTTGAGAGCCAGCATCTTTTCCAGAGCCTGAAGCAGCATCTGATGTATTCTCTAGCGTTCCTTGCCGAAGTTCCCTTGGATTTTTTGGTGGCACCTCGATCCTTGTCATCAGCACTCTTTGCCTCATGATCATTATTATTCTTAGCGGAACGTGGAGTCTATAGAAAAAATTGCCATGAGGAAGGACATTTATCTTATGAACAGCTAAGAAACAAAAGGAAACATAAACTGCAAAAGGAACACAAATAAAGAGGGAAAAAAAAAACTAAAATTACCATAGACATAGTAGGATGTGCATATACTCCCCCTGGAGGATATATTACTGGATACGGAACTGGGGTGCCATACGGAGGCATTAAAGGATGCTGAATGATAATCAACAGAAATGAAAGGAAGACCCTTACTCCAACAAAATAATGAAATAAACCGATTATTGCACAATGGTGACTTTAAAGGTGGTATCACCTGGCCTCCCCACATATATGGATGTGGAGCTGGGGAAGCAACAGTTGAGGCAAAGAAGGGTGGAGTAGCCCCAGCACCATAATAATAAGCCTAAACAAGAAGCTGAGTCGTAAGCTTGAACGATTTTTTACAGGAAAAAGACTCTTTAGGAATTTCATACACGAGATCAGCAGTTGAAAAATAACTCAAACCCTTTGATTTATGTACTATACAAACCTGCATCGGGTTTGACCAATCAGGATATGCAGGTGTTGACATTTCCTGTTAGTAAAAGTTAGAATAATCGGTAAGGCTCAATCACATGTAAGTGATGAGAGAGCAACAATCAAAGGAGTACACTGTTAGCTCTTTTCTTCTTGTGAAGAGGAGGCAACTACGATATACCTGAGCCGATGCTGTAGGTTTGGAAGGCTTGGATGGTGAGTTCTCTTCTGTTCCCATAATCACTTTGGTAATCCTCTTAATTTCAGCAAACTTAGAATCAAATTTGAATATAGTAAATGTCTTTTATGGAGCACCTGAGAATCCAATTCCGAGTGAACATTTATATAAGAAATCAGAGATCACAAGAAACTATCAACCAATGCCACAGCTAACCGGGGTGGGGGGTGGGGGGGAGCTATAACCGGCTATTGGGTACATGCAGAATCATATTTTATGTACAAAAATATGATTCATGGAACGTAAATCTAAACAAATTTCAGTCTTCAGTCAGCGTATTATCATGAAGGAACTATAATGAGAAAAGATAGATAATAGAACTGAAGTTAAAGCTCAGCAACAAACACTCACTTGATCCAACAGAAGACAGAACTTACCCGAAAAATATTGTAAACACCCTACACCAGTTTCAAAATAACCCATATAAAGAATGCTAAAATCTAGAAATAAACTAGATACTTTTTAAGATGTTCTCTTATCTTGGTCACATTCTCTTGCAGCAGATAAATCCAAAATAATACAAATGGGTTATTTTGCTCTTGTCCTAACAAGTGAAGCACTCAGAGGGCAGCGTCATGTTTGTAGTTAATTTAGCGATACGCAAAACAAAGTAGAGAGTATCAACTGTTTCCATTAAGGGACAATCTTCAAATATTAAGTAATTCTTCGATTCCAGTAATTCGTTAATTAAATTCCTTCCAATTTGTTTCGTAAAAAACATTCAACTTTTCCAACAACTCTACCTAAAACAAAAAGAATAGAAATCAGCCGTGCCTATTTTAAATAGACCAAAGCTAAAGCTAGTCAACAATCGGCCATCTAATTCTTCATGCAGATTTTAATAAAAACCCAAAGTGGACCAGCAATTGTCTTACAGATGGAATTCATGGTTCTACACCTCCTCCCAAACATGTTTGGGGGAAAAGAGAGAGTATACATTAATTTATTTAATTTTATGGATTACCACTAATAAACATACTAAACAGCTTCATTTTTAACAGAGTAAAGAGTTAATATTAATCTTTAAGCAGCCCTAAACGCGCATGATTTCCCGTATGCGTATCATAAGCAAAGCTCAAAAGAAACAGTTTAAAGATAAAGTTGAGACAAGAACGAGCAAGTAGCACTCATCCAACTGGTAAATAAAAATTAAAAACATGAAACAAGAGAAACTAAATTCTTGACAGTGTTAAATAATCTTAGACTCTAAATGCTTTTAGAATTACATATAAAGAACAGACCTGCTTTCATGGCGTTGAAAAGAGGAGGAAATTCAATTCAATTCAATTAATTTTCTTCTGAAAAAAGATGTTGCAAGACTGACATTTATATAAGAGACAGAGGATCCATCGTGAAACTACGTCGTTTTGAGGCTTTTGACTTTTCTGTTATCCTTCCACGTCAGTAAGATATTCCAATTTCCCAATACTCGATGGGCCATTGCAACAATTAGCCCAAAACTAAGCCTACGTGGATCAAGTTGTTTTCTATTCATGAAATAGTTAAAATAAATTAAAAACTATTTCTTCTAACAAAAGTGAACATCTCTATTTCAATAACACAAGACATACAGAAACTTTGATAGTATTTATTTTTGGTTCTTTCTGAGGTATATAAAAAGCATTGATTTCCAATTGAAAGTTCTGGAAATTTCTGTTTAAAATTTGCAGTCAAAACATGATCAACCCTCCTATCTCATCAATCCGAAGCAATCATCCAAGCAGAGGAAGTATGATGTATAAGTCTTCGATTTCTTTCCCTTGTTACCGTTGTTGGTAACATGGTCGGGATCGGTACACTCTTCCTTTGCATGGTTTATGGAACGATCGATTTCCACCATCTTAGGAGGCGTAGTCTCCATCTCTGCGGAGCAACACTTGTGGAGCAAGTTTGTAAGATACGCGGTGATTTCCTTGAATTCCGGTCGGATCTTCGGGTCCTCTTCCCAACAGGACTGCAGGAGAGATGCAATCTCTGTTGGAAGACCTTCCACACTAGGCCTTTCATTCTGAAGATTGCAAAAGAGATATATAATTAGATATTGTTAAAAGTAATGACATGAGAATCACAAATTTCAGCTTACATTTGAGGCTGCATACGCCACGATTATGTTACCCCTTCCCTTGAATGGGGCTTTGTTCGTCAACAACTCCCAAAGAACAATGGAGTAGCTGTACACATCGACCTTGTGGTCATAGTGTTTCTTTGCCCCGATGGGGAGCGGATCTCTGCTGTATAACTAATTCAGATATAAGAAAAGGTGTCAGACGTCACCGGAACTAGGAAGATAATACACTACTAGATATTGATTTGAAGCATTATAGGAAATGCACCTCGGGAGCCATCCACCGGTAAGTACCGGCCTCACAAGTCATTCCGCCCATTATTTCCTCCCTTGCTAATCCAAAGTCAGCCAGCTTGACATGCATTTTATCCTCGGAGAGAAGCAAATTACCTGCCATGATATTAAGGATATGTAGGAAACAGATTATTTGCTGGCATAACATTTCAAGGCTTATTATCAGCTGCTTCTATAATTCTTAAGCATTTTGATGCTTCACTTGAAAAAGTGAAAATTTTCAGTTTCAGCACTATCTATAATTCGTTTGGCACCCAACATATTATTGGAAGTCACCATTGCTGTTCGGGAAAACAATGAATATTTGCTATATCTTATGTCTTGGTCACTACAACCAAGCGAAGCACACCATTAACTGTTTACCAAATTAAAGCAACTAGAATACTGAGATTAAAAGAGAATGAATTACTCGGCTTCAGATCACGATGAATAATGCCATTGGCATGCATGTATTCCATAGCTCGGGAAATATCCAAAGCCAGACGTAACGAATGCTTCAGTTCGAGACACTTGGGGCGCACACTCCACAAATACCTTTGAAGTGTATTACCTTTCATAAGTTCAGTAACTATCATCAAAGTTGGCTCCACGGAAGCACCAATAAACTGTTTCAGCATAACAGATTTGAATTAGAAGGACAGGGAGATTAATGCAGTTATGAACACCAGCTTGAGGGAACAATGCAAAGTTAAAATAGCCAGAAAATCAACTTTAATGATACAAGAAAGTCATATTTTAATTATTCTGATGGATTTTAAAGGCCCTGAAAATAGATAAATTCATATTATAAGCCTATTGCTCAAGGATATTTGTATTAGGTATGGAAAGATTCTGAGATAATAAACACATCTGCAGCAAAATTTCCTCCAGTCAGACAAATAGCAGAGTTCAAATGAACATCTTCCATGGATGGATATATGAGAAACTCACAGGGAAACCATATCCCCACACCAAATCTGACAACTTAGTTTGCTTATGTAGCCTGTTGCCATGTTGGCTAGCAAGGAGGATGTGACAACATACATGGAAAGCAGAAAACATCAAATATTAATCAGCCGTTGCTTTCGATCAGGAGCTTGAAACAAGAGACTGAAGGTGAAGGTAAAATTAGACATACTAAAATTTAAGGGTAAGTTTTATACATGAGAGGAAATGAAGTAAATACCTTTACAACATTCTCATGGTCCATCCTAGACAGCAGTAAAACCTCCCTCTGAAATTTCTCTTTATGTTCATGAATTACAGCTGATGGATTACTTGGCTGAATAGTCTTCACAGCAACAGGTTTGGATTTGTAGCTGGAATAAAATGAAGTAACTGTCAGTGTGACGAATCTAAATCATTCGTTGATAGAAAATTGAAATTTATTGCAACGGTATAGCCTTCTAAAACGCAGAAAGCAAGCATGCAATCAAATTTGAACAATGCCAAACATGATATCACAGAATCAATAAGAATTAGCATAAGATTTTGTCTTCCTTTGCCATACACAACTGCTGAAATACAGGGCAATGAAGAATTACTTTTACCAGACATCTACAGTAGAGAGGGCGCTTTCATGCAAACAATATCACAAAAAGATAGCATCGATTATGTTCAATTTATAACTTAAATACAAATGCAGATAATGAGAGGTTTTTAGAATTGATATACAACAAGATGCATAGGAAATTTGACTAGGTATCCAAGGTGTGTCCAGTCAATTAGGAAACAATCATAATCGATCATAAATCCATCAGATGATGAATCTTTTAACTGTCAACTATGCTATTAATGGAAATTGCACTGAAGTCCACATTACATGTGGAACTAACAAAAAAATGTAGTTAGAATCAATCTCAAATCCATGTGATGATGAATCGACCTTAAATCCATCAGATGGTGAATCTTTTAACCATCAACTATGCTATTAGTGAAAATTGCACTGCAGTCCAGACCACATGTGCAAGCTAAATGTAGTTAGAGTCGATCTCAAATCCATCTGATGATGAATCGATTTTAAATCCATTGGATGATGAATCTTTTAACCGTCAACGCTATTAGTGAAAATAGCACCATTCCAAAGTCCAAACTACACTTGCAGTAACAGCTAAATGTAGTTAGAATCCATCTCAAATCATCTAATGATGAATCGATCTTAAACCATTGGATGATGAATCTTTTAACCATCAACTATGCTATTAGTGAAAATAGCACCTTTTCAAAGTCCAAACTACACGTGTGGTAACAGCTAAATGTTGTTAGAATCGATCTTAAATCCATTGGATGATGAATCTTTTAACCATCAACTAGGCTATTAGTGAAAATAGCACCATTCCAAAGTCCAAACTACACGTGCGGTAACAACTAAATTTAGTTAAAGTCGATCTCAAATCCTCTGATGATGAATCTTTTAAGCGTCAACTATGCTATTGACAAAAATCGCAACAACAACTAAATGTAGTTAAGAGTCAATCTCAAATCGATCGATGATGAGATGAATCTTTTAACTTGTGAACAAAATTTGATGCTATCAGCTAAATTTCATTAGAACCTAAAATATTCCTCCAGGAAATCTTCATCAATGCTCTCACTTGCGAAGCTTCAACAACTAGCTAAACCAGTAGTGAAATGCAGTGCAAATTCAAAATGAACGTATCATATCTCCAACTAAAATGACTATATAAGCAACGGAACAGATATTCTATCACCATTGCATTCAACCAATCTGACATTATTAACTCTTTAAAACTCAGCAAACAAGGAACCATGAATCTACTTCCTTAGCACTTGAAGGGACCACAAAAATGAAGATAAAGCTTACTTCTTTACCATTAAATATAGTAATCAACAAATTTTATAGACCTTAAACTAGAAGGAACTCAAATCCCTTATAAAAGAACCCATTTTTCCCATCAAGATTTAAATACACCATGTTGCCAAAAAAAAACAGATAAACCACCTTGAACCCTTTGAAAATTTTGTCCATACAAAAAGACAGAAGAATTCAAATGTCATAAAGAAAGATGAAAACAAAATTGAATTCAGACAAAGGAGAAAAACCCAAAGAAGCCCACAAAAAACAAAAGAGCATGAAAATCCAAGAACATGCAAAGAATGTGATTAACCTAGTCAAGAATATCAAGAAAACCAAACATAAAACATCCCAAAAAAAGGGAAAAAAGGTGAAGAGAACAAAACAAAAAAAAAAAACTCACAATCCTTCATGAACAGTAGAGTAAGAGCCTTCACCGATCATTTTGTGAAGGAAAACATGGCGAGGATCAATCAACAAGGTTTCATCAATCTGGAAGACAAAACTATTATCTGAGTCTGAATCATCTGTTTCATCTTCCACGTCATTGTTGTACAATGACGTCAGCCTAGGTAAGGTATTGCCTACATATTGAAGAGGATAAGGTAAAGACAACTCAAGCTCGTCTCTTTCTCCTCTATCCATTGCTGAACCTTCCTTTTTGTAGTTTTCTTGTTGCATTACACAGTAAAGAAAAAGCTCAAAAAATTAAAATACTTCTTTAATGGGCAAAAATTCTTATATAAATATGTATATATATATATATGTGTGTGTGTGTGTGTGAAATCAAACAGAAACAGAAACAGAAACAGAAACAGAAACAGAAACAATAAAAAAATGAATTTTTATTGGAAACGTGGGGCTTTGGCCTTTGGTGGGTTTCAAAAACGAGAGGGAATTATGGAAACTATTTTTTCTATATTGCTTTTATGGAAAGTCTTAAATTTAATTAATTTTTTTTATTTGAAAATGGTGCATTGAGGTGCATGAATGACCTTGCATCTGCATACCTGGCATATTTTTAGAGGACAGTTTGATGGAAGGGTGGGGGACCACGGAGGTTATATTATTATTTTTGATAAAAATGGAAATGATTTAGAGAATAATGAATGTTTTTTTCTGGAGTGTTTTGGACTCGTACATTAATTTTGGCAATCAGGGAAATACATATGGCTCCACTGTTATTACTGATTCCCTCTATTCATTGTTCTTATTCAATTTTTAAGATTTTGATATTAAATGTTTAGAAAGCGTTAAATGTTAGATAAATCATTCTTTACTAACTCAACTTGAGTTTGATTACTGTTGTTTTTATAATGTTCATGAATTTGAATTTGTTTAAATTTGTGATTTATCTTTGATTTAAGATTTTAAAGTTATATGTAATTTAAATATGGGTAAAGTGCACAAATGGTCCCTCAATTCATATATTCCATGACTATAGGGTATAAGTTTTTAGTCCCATGACTATTAAAAGATACAAAATGGTCAGCTGCCTATTCATATATTCCAAACTTGTCCTTTTATGTTAGAAAATTGACGGACGTCTGCGCTAGAAGTTAATTTATTGAATGAGATATGATAAAATCATATTTTAATATTGTTTACTAGCACTGTCGCTGCTTTCAAGTACTGGCTTGACGACATAATGTAAACAGAGAATTGATCCACAAAATACAATTCAAACGATTATGAGATCAGATTTTATCATATCTCAGTCAATATGTTAACGTTCAGCGTAGAAGACCACCATTTTTGACGAAAAAGGATGAGTTTGAAACATATGAGTAGACGGGTGACTATTTTATAACTTTTGATAGTCGGGGGACTCAATAAGAAGTGTCAAATAATCGGTGGATTGTTTTGTAATTTTTAATAGTTAAAAGATTTAACAAAGCAGTACCTATAATCGGAGAATCATTTGTGTACTTTACCAATTAATGATGATCGGGGAGATTTGGACTTTGGCTCTAAATTTTTTGAACAAGGTTAATAATATACTCTTATTATTGAGGTAAATGATTGAGTATATATGCATTACTTAAACAAAAAGAAGAAGATATTTGCCTTGATTTTATTGTGTTGATTGCTCACAATTTAACCTAGTTCCTAATTAAGCATAATCTAACCTTATTTCTTTACCCAATATGTCAAACGAGAACATTTAGCAGTTTGTATCAGTCTTAAAACGGTACTTAATGTTTCGGTTAAAATTTCAGTATATTTTGATTAATACCAATTAGTATCGATAGATACAAAATTTTAATACTTTTAAATTAAATTTGTATTTTTAATTATATTTGAAAAATAAATATAATCATTTAATCAAGTTATTGAACTTAATTAAATATTTCAATATAAATATATTTTTTTAGGGAAAGGGAGAGAGATTATCCTGGTTTAAACTTGAGATTTAATGTTAATGAACACTAAAGTATTACTCATTATCAATACACCAAGTACTTGATTTAATGCGAAGGAAAACCCAACTTAGTTGACCGAAAATTCTAAGACCTAGATTTAAAGAGATAACATGTTTGCATCAACCTTATGAGGTCATTGTGGGTTCCTAGCCTTAACTCGTTCCTATGATGTAAATATTGATGAAAAGTGAGATAAATTAAGAAATGTTCTCTCAAACTCTTATGGAACTAGAAAATGTTCACAGCTATATGAACATACTTACAAGAACTAATAACCTTTCCAGGAGGATAGTTCTGTAATGTATATCATTATTTACACAAATGACAGAATATTTCAAGGACATCATGTCTACTAGTCAGCTAGACAAGTAAATATACTTTTACAAGAGAATATTCAAGGGTTGATGTCTACTAATTCTATACAACTATTTATCATAGATTTTATCACCATCGATTCAATATTTTGATTAAATAAGCAATCTCATTCATACGAGGATTGTTGGATAATGGATTTTTTTAGGGATGACAATTTAACCCGAAACAGATGGTTTCCGACTTGACCCGATCCGATAGGGTTGGATTTTTTAAAAACAATTCAGCGTCAGGTCGGGTCTGATCAAATTTTTAAGAAAGTGGGGTCGGGTTCGGGTGGAGTGCAAAAAAACTTTGACTAGGCCCCATTCAAGGATAATAATGTAATTTCTTTAAAAATCTTATTATTTTTTAATTATGTCCTTATTTTAAACCGGGTCGGGTCGGGTCGAATTTATACTCTAAAAACTCGGGTCGGGTCGGAGTTGGGTGGGAATATATATTTTTTGGATTGGGTGGGGGTAGGGTGGAGGATATATAGTTTTTGGGTCGGGTCAGATTGTAATGCCTCAAATATTAGGTCAATGACTACATTGAAAGAAATTAAAAATCAGGAGGATTAAATTGAATAATGGTAAAGTATGAGAAAATGATTTAGAAATTTTGTGTAAGACCAATTAGTAAGAAAGGAAGAATGAAAGAGTATTTTAGTCTTTTAGAGGGAAATGGATGTAAAATTCATTTTGATAGGGTATTTAAGAATAAGAAAAAGGGGAAAATAGAAAAGGAAGCTAAATTATCTTCTCTTCTCCTTCTTCCCGTGTGCCCGTTCTCTCCATAGCCAAAGGTGAGTTCCTCCAAGTTGGTTTTTCATTTAGTTAAATGGTTGGTATTGAAACCTTGAGTATTATAGAGGCTTAATGAAGGGTTATAAAGGATTAAAACCAAGAGATGAATGATTTATGAGAGATTGAAGAAAATGGGTTTTTGAATGTTATGTTGAAATATGAGTTTTTATTGAGGTTTGCTAGTATATTTAACTTGTCAAATAAGTAAATAAGAGATTATAAGCATTGGATGTGATTAAAAACATGTATGAAAAAGTAGTATAATTATTGGTTTGAGATGATTCTTGGAGATTTTAGATGTTATAAGAAGCTAGATGAAGGAAAGTTAGTTGAGATAAGTAAAGAAGAGTTTAATAGTATTGTTGGAGGTAAAAGTAAGGGAATTTGATGGAATTTGGGCAAAAATCGAGCTGAAAATGGAAATTATGGGTAAGGGTATCAAGAACAGTATCGATACTATAGGCTTAAATTTGATTAATTATGATGAACAGTATCGATACCGATGCAATTAGTATCGATATTGTTGTGGGTATCGATACTAAGAGGAATGTATTGATACCATGGATTCCATAATGCAGAAATGGTATCGATACTGAAGGGAGTATCGGTACCATAGTATAGAAGTATCGATACCATGGTAGGGGTACCGATACTATTGAGTCTGGAAAATTAAGATTGTACAAATTTTGATAAAAATTGAATATAATAGTACTTTTAAGTATTATTAAAAGTATAAATGTTAGAAAGTATACTAACATTGGTATCGTATGTGTACTTATTGGATGCTTGTGTAGATTGTAACCAAGCTTCCGAGTTAAGCAAGAAAAAGGGCAAAGATATGGTTGTCGAATAGCTGGACATCCTTAAAGCGTTTTAACGAGACATACCAGGTGAGTGCATTTAATATATACATTACGAGTTATAGTTATTATTGGTTAAATGAATATGTTGCAGTGTTATATTAGTACTATGTGTACAAAACCACAGAATTCATAATATGCTTATGAACGACTGTATCGACACTAAGTGTGCAACCCATAGAATTCATAATATGTTTATGAACGACCGTATCAACACTAATTGTGCATTACGCAGAATTCATAATATATTTATGAATGACCGTATCGGCACTAAGTGTGCAAAACCCACGAAATTCATAATATGTTTATGAACGACCTTATCGACACTAAGTGTGCAACCCACGAAATTCATAATATGTTTATGAATGACCGTATCGACACTAAGTGTGCAACACCACGAAATTCATAATTTGTTTATGAAAGACCGTATCAGCACTATGTGTGCACCTCAAAGAAATCAAAATGATTTGAAAAAATAAATTCGTAATTGATAGATATGATATAATAATGTATTGATTTCACCTTATTAGTGTTCTTGCCTCACTAAGTAAATACTTAACGTGTGTTTATTTCACGCGTAGGTGTCAGTAAGTAGAGTAAGGAGTGCATCTGACATTGCAAATCAAAAGTCACCTCATCAGTAACTGTGTGATGTTGTCAGTCTATTTAAAGAGTTTTAACAACTTTAGTCTTGACAACTTTTATTTGTTTACCTTTGCATATTTTCTTGCCTCGACAAAACTTTTCTACTCACTTCACTTTACAATTTTTATTGCCTCGGCCATACTTTTTTACGAAGTTATCACACCCCTAAACTTAAACTATTGCTTGTCCTCAAGCAATGGATAATGAGTAATAGAAAAATGAAATGCTATGGTAAAGTCTAATTCATGACAGTCAAATGGTTTAAAATTTCAACCCTCAACAACAAGTTTGCCCTCAGCAACCGTCTAAGAATACTCAATAATCTTGTTGGACAGCCTAAGCATAGCATACCAAATCATTCTTAGCATAAAATAACTTCTCGCCATAGAAAAACCAACATAAGTGCCCCGTTAAAATTCTGATTGTGTGAGGTTTCCAGTGTATTTACAGAGTTTTGACAACTTTAGTCTTGACAACTTTTATTTGTTTACCTTTGCATATTTTTCTTGCATCGACAAAACTTTTCTACTCACTTCACTTTATAATGCCTCGTCCATACTTTTTTCTATCTGTTCATACTATTTGCCATTGCATATTTTCCTTTTTTATATCATTAGACTTAGATACTTAGGATTAGTTAGTGA